GAAACTTGAGGATGCTGGAGTTTCCCAAGGGTTCACCCAGAGAGGGGCTCTGGAGGCTGTTGGGGAAACCCCGTGCCTCCTCTGGCCTCAAGTTCTGTTGATGTCTGTTGAGTTTTTGTCCGATCTCAGCCCGAGTCATCACCTGCCTCTTCCACTCTCTGCCTCTCCCTCTCTTGTGGATGAGATCAGAACCCCACCTCGGGGTGAATCCCGGACCTTGAGCCAAGACTGGACTTGGTGCCAGTCTCACAGAAGGTTCCAGATCACCCTAAGAAAGAGCTCCTCCTCCTGTTTCCGTGTTGGGAACATGGAGAGAGGCTTAGGAAGGGCGAGCCACTCCCCCAGGGCCCTACTGCAGTCTCAGGCAACCAGACTCCGGAGCCTGCCCTCTGGATGCCAGCTCTTCAGAGCCCTTGGCTGGGTGGCCCCCGAAGGACCTCCGAGCCTCCATTTCCTCCTGTGTAAAACTGACTTCCTTTCCCTGCAGGACCCCTGGGAGGGTTCAGAGGTTCCCCCTCCCACCATATCCACCCTTCTGCCTCTGCTCGAAGTAATCCTGCGCCCCCTTCCCCCTCTTCCTTCCTCCCTCCTTCCTCCTCCCTGCACTCTCTCCCCTCTTCCTCTCTCCCTTCCTCACCTCTCCCTCCTCCTCTGGCTCCTCCAAGCCCTCTTTCTCCTCCTCCCCATCTCTCTCCTTTCCCTGCACCTTATTTCCCTGCCGCTCTGAGGCCCCTGGGAATGAGGGCGCCCTGGCTGGACCTCTCTTTCCGCTTTCTCCGCTCACAGTGTCGGCCAGGCCGCCCCACGCACGCACGGAGGGGAGGGGAGGAGGGGACCGCAGGCCGCGCTGTCTCTTCTGTCTCTTCTTGTTAGGGAAGGCACTGAGCAGAACTGCGGGGACTGAGAGATACAGGGATGGAGACAGAAGTCAACAGGGGGAGTATGCAGGACCAGGTCTAGGGACAGAGCCTCATGCACACAGAAGAATGGCACAGAGATGGGGTGGGTGACATCCAGCCACAGGGAGGGACAGAGACAGTGGAGAGGGACAAGAAGGTGGGAGTGGGGGGAGTGAGGGCAGGGACAGCCAAGGACACAGAGCGGCTTGGTGACAAGGTGCAGACCCCAGCTAAGGGAAAACAGGGATGCACGGACCCCTGGAGGTCAGGGTGCAGGGAGCCACGAGGCCAGCAGCATGCAGGCCACAGGGAGCAGCGACATGGGAGGGACAGGGAGCTGTGCACTGGGCCGGCTCCCCCGCCCCGCTGGGACGCTGTTACATTTTTAATGTCCCAGCCAGCATGCTAAGAAATAGAGCAGGAGAGGGAGGAGAGGAAGGGACCCAGAGAGGTGGCCCAGGCAGTGAGAAAACATGTCAGGGATGTGGAAAGACTGGTGGCAGGGAGACCCTGGTCAGAGACAGAGATATCCTGAGATGCGGCCCACAGACATGGAGAAACCAGAGTCCCTGGGAGTCTCAGGCAGAAGCAGATCCCGGAGACCCAGGCCCAGAGGAGAAAAAAGAAAGTGAGAGAATGGAAGCCTAGCGTGGCGGTGCACACCTGCAGTCCCAGCACCTGGAGAGGCCGAGGCAGGAGGATCTCAAGTGCAAGTTCCAGCTCAGCCAGAGCAATTTAGTGAAACTCTGTCTCAAAATAAAAAATCAGAAAATATTTGTGGCTGCAGATGCAGTTCAGTGTGAAGGTCCTAGATTCAAACTTCAGAACCTTAAAAAGGAGAGGAGAGAGAGAGGGAGAGGGAACGGAGGGGAGGAGGAAGGAATGGAGGCGGGGGAGACAGAAGACGAGAACAATTCAGGGGCACGCATGTGTTGTGGTCGATGAGACGGTTCCAACGCTGTGGTGACGGACGCACGACCCTGTGGACGCTGGACGGCGCTGAACTGGACGCATTGGTGGCTCGCATGGCGTGGGAGTTGTCTCCGTATAGGGACTGAGGTGCAAACTCCCGCAGGCTGTGGGCCGGACCTGCCCCACCAGGAAGAGCTGTGCTAGCGATTCTGCCCCAAGAGCCAGAACATGGCCCGGGAGTGGGGACCGGGCCCCCGCTCTGGGAGGGCAGAGTGGTGAAGGCCCGGAGGCAGGCAGAGAAATTAGCCCCAGGCCCACGGTCGTCCTGGCTGCTGCCGCTCACTCCCCAGACCGGCTCCGGATTTCCGCTGCGGGGGTGGGCACTGTGATCCATGCAATTAATTAATTAACCAGGCTGCTGAGGCAGCAGCCGAGGCCGGCGCTCCGGGCACACAGGACTTCAAGGGGCCTCTCCAGAGCCCTGCCACACCCTGCCATGGGAGGGCCGGGTGTATAAGCTACGAGGTGTTGAGGTGTCTGCGGCCTTGGTAGGGGTAGGCAGGCCCTGAGGAGCTGGCCAGGCCGGAATCCCAGAGCCAGCTCTGGCCTCCCCTCTCAGGCCCAAGGGGTCCAGGCCCAGATTCTAGCCCCACTGCCCTGCGGCTCCTCAAAGCAGTGTCCCTCCTCTCGGCCTTGGTCAACCCCTGCCTGCATCTCCAGGTCTCCCGCTCCGTGTCCCTGTTCCCTAAAGTTCTCCCTAGGCCTTCCCTTCCCTTCCCCCACCACGGACGGAAGCCTGCAGGCCCAGTCCGCAGGGACAGGAAGTGTGTTTGGGGACCCAGCTGACACCTCTGTAGCACTGTCACCAGTCTGCCTTGCCCAGGGAAGCGGAGGACAGCAGGAGCTGTCGTAGCCGCTCTCCCCTGGCACCGTGCTGGCCTTGTCTCTGCCTTGTCTCTGCCGAGGTCAGGAAGAGGCACCTTGCTCTGGGCCAGTGCTCCTCCCACTGCATCCCCCACCGTGCTCGGTGACCTGTCCCCACCCCAGCCACACACTCCCTTCTCTCCTTAACTCTCCGTGGCTCCCCAGTCCCCTCAGGACAAAGCCCCAGCTCTAACTCAGCCTTGGCCCATGCAGCCTAGCACTACAGCTCCGTTCTCCCTCTCTTTTGCTTCTTGTACCTCTCTGTGGGGTTCTGATGCCATAACTGTGAACATGGTGGGCACTGATTTCTGCCCCTGGGTCTGAAATGCTACTAGGGGAGACAAACGGGGTTCTAGATCACGGGTAGTGGTCAGTGCTGTGAGGCAAAACAGAGCAAGATCCAGGGGTCCTTGCTACTGTACATATGGTAGTCGAGGAATTGCTTCAGTGAGCAAGAGACCTGGAGGGAGGGAAGGCAGGAGCAGCGGGGACCGGAGCAGGAATGTGAGTAGCAAGTGCAAAGGCCCTGAGACGGGACTTAGCTGGCATTTAAGGAGCAGTGGGGAGGCCAGCCTGGGGAGAAGAGGTGAGGAAAAGGGGTAGACAAAGGCATGCAACCGATGTGGGCCACTGTGAAACCACGCTTTGTCCTGAGTGAAGAGAGCTTCATCAGAGCAGAGAGGAGGGAGGCGATCTGATCTGCCATAGCCACCCTGTGGGGACATCGTGAGGGCCCCTACTGTCTTCTTAGACCAGGATGGGGCCCAGGGAAGAATTCCACATGGTCCGGTAGATACAGCTCCAGATAGGGCCTGCAGGATTTTCTAATGGTCTTCCCGAGGGGAAGGGAAAGGAAAGTCAGAATGACTCCAAGGTTTTGACCCCGCACTCTTTCCTGAAACAGAAACACCTTAAAAATGGCGGAGGAGGAAAGGGTTATCGGGCTCACAGCTGGTGGAGGTTTCAGTCCCTAGTCAGCGGGCTCCAAGGCAGGGTGGTGCGGCAGACGAGAAACAGTCTGCAGCGAGAACACGTTAGCCCTCTTCCTATCCTTTGTATTTTACGCTGTGTGGCACTCACACCCTTAATCCCAGCATCACACACTCTAGATCCAGCCACCTCTGTCTAGGGCCCACTGATGACCACAAGAGGCTCTGGGGGACATCTAGACACAGCCATACCAGGTGGGTTTGAGCAACTGGGACCCAGAACCGTATTCATCTGGTCCACACATACTGAACATCTGCCGCCAGTCTGTCTGTCGTAGACCCAGGAGTAACTGTGAGCAGAGATATCCCTGCCCTGGGGCGCTGGTGTCCAAGTAGGTGCACGCACATCTGTAATCCCAGCACTCGGGAGGCTGAGGCAGGAGGATCACTGTGAGTTCGAGACGAGCCTGGGCTACATAGTGAGTTCCAGATCAGTCTCAACTACATAGCGAGACCCTGTCTCAAAAAACCAAAAAAAAAAAGGAAGGATGAGGAGACCCTACCCCGGGCGAGAGATCTCAAGAGATTAGCCCCCCGGGAAGCTGAGTGGCTCCGTGTGACTTCTGGTGACACCTGCATAGCCCACCTTGCTGTCTGCAATCCATTCTGTCCAGCTCACCCCTTGCCCTCATACCTCTCTGGCTGAAATCAACTCATTCTTCAGTTGAAGAACTATCTATGGCTCACACGTGCCTCCCCCATACCTCCAGGACCCTGAGCTCCTCGGCCTCACACTGCTTCGCTGTTTCTGTGGTGGCTCATGAAAGCCCATGTTGGGTTTTCCTGAGTACCTTCCTTTTGGGCACCCCGAGGTGGCAGGTCCTAGCATCTACGAGGAAGCCCTTGTGTGGGAGGGAGGCCCTCAGGCCACACAACCCAGCCCCAGGAGCCCCATCTGCTGAATTTTGCCTGGATTTGTTTTATTTTTTGTTTATTGTTTTTTGTGGGGCTGGGGCTAAGGCTGAGGGCACACCCTTTAATCCTAGCACTCTGGTGGGACTGAGGCGGGAAGATCCCAAGTTCAAACCTTGTCTGAAAATTAAAAAGTGGGCTGGGGATGTAGCTCAGTGTGAAGGCCCTAGGTTCAATCCGTAGTGCTAAAAAAAAAAAAAAAAAAAAAAAAATCAGTAAATGAAACCCCTGAGGCCCCAGCAAGGATACCCTGCCAAGCCAGATGTGGCAGCAGCACTGACCCCTGGGGCTGCATCCACTGTGCTGGGTCCCCGTGTCACATGGAGGAAGCTGGGCTTGGGAAGTGGTCACTCAGCTGGGAAGGGATGGAGCAGGGCAGGGGGCAGCGCTAGACAGTATGTCGCAGATCTGAGGCTCTACACCCAGCTTCAGGCCTCTGCAGCAGGTGCGTGCCTTCCCTGAGGTGGCTTGAGTGTGACGTGCTGTGTGTGTCACCAGAGGCCTTCACGCACAGCCACCTGTTGATGTCCCCTGACCTCCTTTGCACACGGATCCAGGGCTGTGCACACCTCAGCCACCTGCCAGGCTGCAGCCGTCCCTGGAGAGAGGTCAGTGTCCTGAGCCCTGCCCAACCCTCAACTTGGGGCTGACAAGGGCCACTTGTAATTAAAACGGCCTCCGTGGTGTTTGTTTAACAAACTCTGATCTCCAGCTTCCTGTGGCCCCATTAGTGCTCCACAAATCCTCCTGAACCCTCATAACTACCCCTAGGACATAGGGGCCTGTTATTATCCTCATTTTACAGCTGGGAAACTGAGGCTCAGAGAGACTGAGTGACTTAAGCAAGGTCACACAGCCAGGAAGTGGCAGAGCCAGGATTTAAAAACACGAAGTCCGTGCCTATGGTCATCAGGCTGTGTTGTCTCGCACGGCCCAGAAACAGTCTTCCTTGTTCCAATTTTTATCAAAAGTGCGAACGTGGCTGGGATATAGCTCAGTGGTACACATTTGTCTGGCATGCCTCAGGCCTGGGGTTCTGCCCCCAGCACTGCAAAAAAAAAGAAATGAGAAGGGAAAAGGAAAGGAAAAACAGGAAACAGCGCGTGGTGACACCCTCCTGTAACCTCAGTACTTAGGAGGCTGAGGCAGGAGGATCACCAAGAGTTCAAGGCCAACCTGGGCTATACAGTGAGTTCAAAGCCAGAATGAATGATCTAACCAGACTGTATCTCAAAGAAGAGAAAACCCCTATGATGTCAAATGGAAGAGCCAGGTGCTGAAGGCCCTGGGTAATATCATAGGACTGGGGGAGTTCGTAGGCAGCCAGCCAGTGGATGAGAAGTCTAGAGAGACAGGCAAATCCCAAGTGACCACTTAGTGGGCATGAGGGATTCTTGTGGGGACACCAGAAGTGCCCTAAAACTGACTGTGGCAGGAAGGCACAGCTCCAGAACTAGACGGAGAGCCGTTGAATTGCACACGTCACACGGTGGACCAAGGGCGAGGGGCTGGTTCTCGCGGAACTGTCTGAGCTCATCGCAGACAGACAGACACTTCAGCCCTGTGTCTCTAGGCAGAGGTGCTCTGCATAACCACAGCTTCACTTCCATGCCTACGAATATCGCCAGGAACCCCACAATAACATGCAATCTAAAGAAGATTTTATTAAATAATTCCTGGCATGCAACTCCTAAAATCCTTCAACTCTCCGAAGGGACAGCAAGTAGTGTCTTTTTCCCCCCTCCCAGTACAGGGACGAGGCCCCAGAGTACTGCGCTGAGCTGTACCCCAGCGTCTCACTGAGTCCATGAATGGCTCAGGCCAGACTCACTCAATCCTGCTGCATCAGCCTCCCTTGGTGTTGGGATCACAGGCAGGCACCAGCACGCCCGGCACTGTGTGTTTCTGAGGCAGCGTCCCCATGTCGCCCAGGCTGGTCCTGCACTCCTGGGCTCAAGGGATCCTCCTGGCTCAGCCTCCCAAGTAGCTGGGACCACAGGCGCGTGCGACCACACTTGGTTTCCTGTTAACTCGTTCAAGCTGCCCGCAGGACTCAGGCAGTCACATTCGCTGGTCTGTCCTAAAGGATATTATAAAGAATACAGGTGACCAGGCATTGGGGTGCCTTGTCCGGCACCTCCTCTCTGGGAGTTCTGTGTGTTCAGCTGTCAGGAAACTGTCCGTACCTTGTTCTTTTTCTTCCCTTCAGCACCAGAGGCTGCCTCCAGAGCCTTTACACAGAGCTACATCCCCAGCCCCTTTCACATTTTTAATTTTGAGACAGGGTCCTCACTGTATTGCTAAACTGCCCTGGCTGGGTTCGAATCTGCTAACATCCTGCCTCTGCCTCCCAGGGTTCCAGTAAGCACCATCACCCCAGCTGCTTTTGGCAGCGTGTGCCTGTGATCCCAGCACTTTGGAGGCTGAGACAGAAGGATTTTTTTTTTGTGAGTGTGTACCTGTGATTGAACTCAGAACCTCTTGCTTGCAAGGCAAGCAGGCAGCGGAACCACTGAGCTAAATCCCCGGCCCCGGAAGGGGCTTTGTTACCTCAAGGCCCGAGCTACACCATGAGTTCATGGCCAGCCTAGGCTATATTGTAAGACCCTTTCTCAAAACTACCACCTTCCAAGAAAAGCAACACAACCGGGCGGCCGCAGCGGCATCTGGCTGTGGGCGATGGTCCCGGGGACCAAGCCACCGACCTGCAGGGTCCCAGGCCATGTCCAGGTAGAGCAGAATGTGGGGCTCCCCATGCAATTTGATGTTGCCCCACAGGGGACCCCACGTTCTGGTGTCAGCAGGGCTATAGGAGAGCATGGTGGAGGGGTGCTGGAGTCCCCGTCTTCCTGTCCACCGGCCTGGACTTGGGTGTCCCCAGTGTTTTCCAGCAGGCTCGCTGGCCTCCAGACGCTGCTGCAGGCGTCGGACCTCGGGCCAGGTCTCCCCGCCAGCCCCACCCGGCCCGGAGGTCTCGGTCACCCAGCCTCTCCTTCCTCCCCCCAGGAGCCCAGGACATGCAGGTCCAAGTTCTCCCCGAGGTGCGGGGCCACCTGGGCAACACCGTGGAGTTGCCGTGCCACCTGCTGCCACACACCCAGAGCGTGAACGTCACGCAGGTGACCTGGCAACGCCTGAATGGGATCTCCGTGGCTGCCTTCCACCCCAACTACGGCACCCACTTCCCCAACCAGCAGCCCAGCCGAGAGCGGCTAGCCTTCGTCAGGACGGGCCAGGGTGCCAAGACCAACCTGTACGACGCCACGCTGGCCATCCACGACCTGCGCCTGGACGACGAGGGCAACTACACCTGCGAGTTCGCCACCTTCCCCAAGGGCACCCGCTCGGGGGTGACCTGGCTCCGGGTCCTAGGTGAGCAGCGGGGTCTGCTGGGTAGGAGCACCCCTCCCGCCCACTCCTCTCTGCCCCAGCCTCAAGGCTGGCTTTCCCTGTGACATCGCACCGTCGGCGGGTATTCACCAAGCACCTGCTGTGCACCAGCTTCTCTGTGTGCCGAGGACACGGCGGGCAATGGTGCATTCTCAGCACATTTTTATTGAGCACCTACTAAGTGCTTTCCTAAGTATTCGGGATGATGAACTAAGACTGAACTTCCTGTCCTCCTGGAGGCACCAGAGAGTATGTAAATATGGACCTGGCCACAATCCCATCACTCTGGGAAGCTGAGGCGGGAGGATCCCAAGTTTGACGTCACCCTGGGCAATTTAATGAGAACTTTTCTCAAAATAAAAAATGAAGAAAGTGTAGGGAGAGGTGTAGCTTAGTGCAGAGGTCCTAGACGCAATCTTCAGTACCAAATGGATAAATATATAAAAAACCAGAGTGAGCTGGGAGTGATAGAGCACACCTATAATCCTAGCGCTTGGGAGGCTGAGGCAGGAGGATTGCCATGAGTTCAAGGCCAGCCTGGGCTACATGGCAAGACCCTGTCTGACACACACACACACACACACACACACACACGCACGCACGCACGCACACCCCAGAGTGTCAGGCAGTCAGTGTTAGGCACTGTGAAGTTGAAGGGGGCAGGTGGCAGTCTTAGCTGGGAGGTCTGGTGATTCTTAAAAACTAAAAGGAGGGACTGGAGCCCTGGAAGTAGCCAAGACAGGAGAGATCAGGAAGCAGGCAGGGTGCGTGCACAGGCCCTGCATCAGGACGCATCAGGAGGGAGGGGTACAGATGTGAGTGGGAGGTGGGAAGAACAGAGGGGGCAGAGTCCTGGAGGTGATGGGGGACGGGTCATGGACGCCTCGTGATCCGAGTGAAGACTTCAGTTTTTCCCGGAGAACAGAAGCCACGTAGGTGCTAAGCAGCACAGAGGCTGTCTGACTGGGGGCTGTGGGGAGCAGGAGGTGGAGGCTGGGAGAAAGGGACGCTGGGCAGGCCAGCTGGGTGTGTTCCAGGGATGATGGCAGCTGGGGTTGGGGGTGCTCTCTGAGGCAGGAAAGCACTCAGGAGGCTGAGGCAGGAGGATCACTGAATTTGAGGCCAACTGGAACTGCACAGCAAGACCCTATCTCAACCCCCGCCAAAATATAAAAATAATAGCTGCCGAGCTGCAGGCACTGTAGGCACTGAGAGTAAAACAGCCAGCCTCTGCCTTCCTGGGGAGCAGGTGACCCCTCAGACACTACAGACAAGCTGATCAGAGGACAGGGACGTCCCCCTAAGGAAGCGAGGCTTGGGCTGGCATCTGGGACCGCACAGTGGACAGGAGAGGGGACCGAGCCTGTGCTGTCAGTGGAAGGAAGGTGGCCCACGCCGGCTCCCTGAGCTCTCAGTGTCCCAGGGGCGCTGGCAGGGCAGTTGGGGCACAGGGCCACAGCAGGGACGAGGGCGTGGGCACGGGACAGGCACAGAAGGCAGCTGGGGGCACGAGTCAGAGTCCTGGGGACAAGCAGGGCTTCCCCCTTCCCCCAGTATTTTCTTGTTTTCCGAGAGGATTGAGTAAAAAGGACAAAGATAAATGACCACGCCGGGCACCTTCTGTGCCTTGTCCCATGTGGGGAGCAGAGGGGAGGGGACAACACAGCAGAGTGGGCAACACTTGGGTATCACAGTATGTGTCAGACCCGAGGCTAAACCCAGATAGGTAGAGTTCTTTGCTCCACAAAGAAATGGTTGGTTTTTTGACATAGGGTCTTGCTATGTACCCCAGGCTGGCCTTGAACTCACAGCCATCCTCCTGCCTCAGCCTCCTGGAATGCTGAGTCTATGGTCCTGCAGCACCACACCTGGCAAGGTATAGGACATTCGTCATCTCCGTCTGACTCGCCGGAGCTGCACAGCTCTGAGCAGCGGAGCTGGGGCCTGAGCACAGGCAGTGGGGCCTGACTGCCCTGCTCCCTGTGAAGTGTTTGTTGAGTGACTGCGGGACAGGAGTAAACCGCCACCCATGTTCCCCCCAGCCCAGCCCCAGAGCCATGCAGAAGCCCAGGAAGTCACACTCAGCCTGGATCCCATGCCAGTAGCCCGCTGCATCTCCATGGGAGGCCGCCCACCTGCGAAAATCACCTGGATCTCTGCCCTGGAAGGGGAGGCCAGAGACAGCGAGGAGCCAGGGCCTCAGCCGGGCACAGTCACCGTCACCAGCCGCTACACCGTGGTGCCCCTGGGCCGAACGGATGGCATCAAAATCACCTGCAAAGTGGAGCACGAGGCCTTCCAGGAGCCGATGCTGCTGCCCGTGACCCTCTCCGTGCGCTGTGAGTGCTCCGGGTGACCCCACGCCACTGTCCCCGCTGTCCCAGAACATTGTCTGCATGGTTCCGTACCGACTCCCTGCCTGCTGTCCACACCGGCTCCCACAGGCCGTGTCCACACACCTCCCCCTCATCTACACTCGCTTCACCAGCTTCCACCACACTGCCCCATCACTGGTCGGCTGAGATGCGCCTCACAAGAGCCAGTCCACAGCCGGGTGTGCACACCTGTAATCCCAACACTCAGGAGGCTGAGGCAGGAGGGTCCTGAGTTCAAGTCCAGCCTGGGCTACCTAGGGGGACCCTGTCTCAAGAACAAAACAAAGAGAGCCAATTTGCAACATTTCTTCCTAATTCTTCATCCAGCCACATCTTGCTGGTAGCTTGACACCAGCAGGAGGGTTCATGACCCCTAGGAACGTGGCAGACGCCGCCTGTCAGGCCCTTCCTCAGCAGCACACAGCTTCCTCTAGGAACTTCCTGTGACAACGCCCCTTATTGTCACGCCCGGCCACTTCCGGCACTGTTTGGTTTTTGTGTGGGCTTTTGTTTTTTGTTTTGTTTTGGTTTTTTTTGGTACAAGGATCAAACTTGGGCCCTTGCACTTGCAAGGCAGACAGCGGAATCACTGAGCCAAATCCCCCGCCCACTGTTTGGTTTTTCTGATACCAGGGATCAAACCCAGGGGTAGTTGACCACTGAGCTACATCCAGCCATGTATATTTTTTATTTTGAGACAGTGTCTCACAAGGTTGCCCAGGCTGGGCTCAAACTTGCCATCTTCAGTTTGCCTTAGCCTCCCCATTAGATAGAAATCCAGGCGTGCAACTCCATACCGGGCCTCCCAGCATCCTTCACTGGGAGCCTGGTGAGTGTGAACTGTCGGGCACCACCATGGGCGATGCCTTTGTGTGCCGGAGGCCTGGTCTACAATGGCTTCCTCAGGCCATACCATTCTGTGCAGTACATGGCTCCCAAGCCTCATCTATACTGATTCCCTCCCCAAGTCCACACCGGGGGCCAGATGTTTCTCTGAAATCCTTCTTGCCATATCCTGTACTCCAAGCATGTCACAGATAACACCCACCTCCACAGTCATTTAGCTCTGCCTTCCCTAAGTGATAATACCCTTAAAGTTGGCCGCAGTGGCCAGGTGTGGTGGAACATGCCTGGGAGGCTGAGGCAGGAGGATGGCAAGTTCCAACCCACCTGGGCCATTTAGAAACGTAATGAGACCTTGTCTCAAAGTAAAAAGTAAAAAGGGCTGGGATTATAGTTAAATGTGAAGGCCCTAGTTCAACCCCCGAAACTGCAAAAACAAACAAACAGGGCCGGGGATTTAATTCAGTAGCACCACACCTGCCTTGCAGGCGAAAGGTCCTGAGTTCCATCCCTGGTGCCAAAAAAAAAAAAAACATACAAAAGGAGCTTCCGGGAGTGGCTTTCCTGGACCACCTCCTCAGCATACAGCATGCAGCTGCTTGACTCAGACCATTTCATCTGGCAGGCTTCTGGCCACCCAACACATTTTAGAATTCCTGTCCAGCAGGTGAGCTGTCCGCCCCACGGGGATTCTCCATCCCTGAGCCCATGTGTCTGTTCCCTCCAGACCCGCCCGAGGTGTCCATTTCCGGCTATGATGACAACTGGTACCTCGGCCGCAGCGAGGCCACCCTGAACTGTGATGTCCGCAGCAACCCAGAGCCCACAGGCTATGACTGGAGCACGTGAGTACAGGGGACTAGAATAAGCCTGAGGAGGAGGGGCCAGGGGCCAAGATTCCTGGGCCTCAGGAAAGAGGATTGGAGGTTTCAAATTCCTGCATCTCAAATTCCTAGGTCTGAGGAAGAAGGGATTTGGGCCTGGACCCCCGGGTCTGAGGGAGGAGGCTGGACCTGGACCCTTGGGTCTGGGGGAGGAGGCTGGGCCTGGACCTCCGGGTCTGAGGGAGGAGGCTGGGCCTGGACCCCCGGGTCTGGGGGAGGAGGCTGGGCCTGGACCCCCGGGTCTGGGGGAGGAGGCTGGACCTGGAGCCCCGGGTCTGGGGGAGGAGCCTGGGCCTGGACCGGTGGGTCTGAGGGAGACTGATCCTGGACCCCCGACCTGAGGGTGGAGGGCTGGCATCTAGTGCCCTCAGGGTAAGTCCAGGCCCTGGCACTGGGCTCCAATCGTGTTTCATCACAACTGGCCTCTTCCCCCTTGTGGACCCTGCTGTCCTCTTCACCCCACACCCAGGCCTTCAGGCATCTTCCCAGCCTCCGCAGTGGTCAAGGGCCCCCAGCTGCTTGTCCACTCAGTGGACCGAGGGGTCAACACCACCTTCATCTGCACAGTCACCAATGCTGTGGGCACAGGCCGTGCTGAGCAGGCTGTCTTGGTCCGAGGTAAGCGGGTTGGGGCCGAATGCGCAGAGCCCAGTCTGCCCCTGGTCATCCCCACTTGAGCCTGTGGCCGCACTGGACCAGAGGGGATGATGGCCGCCTGCTGACAGAGGAGCATGGTGTTGCTCCTCCCTTGGCCCCAGGCTGGGACTGGACTCGAGCCAGGGCGGGATTAGCCCTGGAGTTAGGAGGCTGAAGGCTGTGCTGAATCTGCAGGGAAGATCTCGGGACCCTAAACGACCTGCCCCCAAGTCACCTGAGAGACAGAACCCCCAGCTCTCCACTCCCCATTTGGAAACCCAGAGGAGTCCAAGTCACGGAGGTGCGGAGAACAGGCAGGAACTGGCCTGGGGCCACGACAGAAATGAGGTCCAAGCCCAAGCATGGGGCCAGGCAGCTGCTGGGAGGTAGCACTTTCATGGCTCCCGTGATACAAGGCCCCCAAGCTGGGCATAGTGAGCCTTTGGTCAGAACCACAGCCGGCAGGACCTGATCCACAGAGACACCAGGGCCAAGGGCTCTGTCACACAGAAGCATGGGAATCCAGAGACTCCCCCGATGTAACCCTACACACAGACCATTGTCACCAAGACACACTCAGGCGAGGGCTGCTCCGGCCAAGACACAGAACAAAGCAGGTGACACTGGCCAGAGCCTGGGACAGCCACACAAAGCTAGAAAGAGCCCTTCTCAGTACAGCCTCAAGGGCGACCCTGCACACCACCCGCAAGGGCGTGTGGGAGCACAGCCACCGGGAACGGCGGCCCCACAGGTGGGAACAGTGCTCCTCAGGGCGCAGCCACAGGCTAGAGACCCAGGCTACTGGGAAACAGCCTCAGGACACTGCTCCCGGTCCCAGGCACACACAGATAAAGATGCACACGCTGTCGCCAAGACGCAGTTCGGGCCCACACGGGGTAAACAAGCCCACAACTGTGCTGCGGGCAGATGTCTGTCTCTTCAGGGGGTCTCAGCAGAGGACCCGCAGACTCAGCAGCAGACTGCTCCCAAGCAGCACCTCCCAGCAGGAAGTCTGCTGGAGTTACTGACCCAGATTCCCACTAAGAAACCTGTTTCCCAGCTTGAACCAGCATGTAGGTGTAAGACAGTGAACTTCTGTGTCACTGCGGGCAGGACTTTTCCTTTCAGTCTTCTTATGAGACTGCGTCTTGCTATGCAGTTTAGGCTGGTCTTGAACTCTGTGTGTAGCCGGGCCAGCCTCGAACTCACTGTGATCCTCCTGCATCAGCCTCCTGAGTGCTGGGATTACAGGTGTGCACCAACCACGTGAGGACTGGACCTTTTCCAAGATGGTATTTGCATCAACCCCACGCACCTCCTCCTGTAGACCCTAAAGATGATTTCCCAGACCTAACGCAGTGTAGCTGCTGTGTAAATAGTGGTATTTGGTATTGCCTAGGGGAAAAAATCTGTACATTTCCATCTAGAAATATTCTCCATCCTGAGGGTGTGGAAGACCTGGTTTATGTCCCCCCCACCCCACGGCAGCCAAAAGTTTCTGTCCTTTTTTTTTTTTTAAAGCTGTTTGAGGACCACCTAACAGATCTGTAGCATGATGGATCTTGAGCCCTTATTTGAAAACCCGCACTGTAGGGCCAGAGGTGTGGCTGGGACAGAGAGCTTACCTAGTGGGCACAAGGCCCTGGCTTCCATCCCCAGTACCACCACCAAAAAAATTTTTAAGAAGTTCAAAAAGGTATACTATAGGGCTGGGGGTTTAGCTCAGTGGTTCCACCGCCTGCCTCATAAGCACAAGAGTTCAATCCCCGATACCAAAAAAAAAGTATGCTGTAGACAATGGTTCAAGCTTCTAATCCCGACTACTCAGGAAGGCTGAGGCAGGAGAATCACTTGAACCCATGAGTTCAAGGCCAGTCTGGGGAACATAACAAGACCCTGTCCTCAAATGATATACATAAATAAATTTGAAAAAGAAAGGAATGACTGGAAACAGGTTCTCAGGAGCTGGGTTGCAGCCCCTGGGCCTCCAGTCACACAGTAGTGGCGGGGTGAGAAGCTCCAGGCGAGCACGGCATAGGGGAGCTCCTCCTGCTTGGCTCCCTGTCTTCTGCCTCCCCATGCTGCCACCCACTCTGCTGATGCGATGGGGGGACGAGTCACCGGGGGCAGAGCGGAGGCAGGGAAGCTGTACACACGTCCTGCCCTGCCCTGCCCCTCGGAGGCCCCGCCCTTAGCGTGAGACCCCGGCATCTGTGAGGACCCCCACCCCCAGTGTGGATGCAGGGAGTGAGGGTGACAGCTCACCCTGCCCTGCGGTCTCTTGAGGAGAAGAGTCCTGCGTTGCCGACCTGATGTGTTCCCCTCTTAAGAGAAATCTGAGCCAGGGATTTAGCTCAGTGGTTCTGCTGCCTAGCAAGCGGAAGGTCCCACGTTCGATCCCTGGTACCAAAATAAAAGAGCATCTGAAGCCAGGCCCTGTGTGGCACCGCCTGTAACCCCAGCACTCTGGGTTGCAACTTGAAGCCCAGGCCGGGAAACTTAGCGAGAACAAACTAAAAATACAAGAGGGTTGGGGTGTAGCTCAGTGGGAAGGCCCTGGGTTCAATCCCCAGCACCACACACAAATCTGAATTTTGTTTTGTTTTCGGGTACCAGGAATTGAACTCAGAGACTCGCGCCTGCCAGGCAGATGCTGCACCCCGCTGAGCTACATTCCTGGCCCACGAATCTGAGTTTTTAAGTGAAACTGCCTGATTCTTGAAATGTTGGCCAGAAATTGCAATTTATTTTCTTTTTTGCGGAGCTGGGGATGGGACCCAAGGCCTCGTGCCCGGGACCCCAGCCGTGAGGCAGCCATGGGAATGGAGGGGTGGAGCAGGTGCGCCCCTGCTCTGTGGGGTGGGCTGTGGCCCGTGGTCCCCTCCCCCACCTCCTCGGTCACCCGCTCCCCTGCTCTGTCACTAACCCTGCTCCTGTGTGCTTCACCTCATGCGTCCTCTTGACCACCCTCTCTCTCTCTCTCTCTCTCCCCCTCTTCCTCGTCTCTCCTCAGACACCCCCCAGGCCTCTTCCCGAGACGTGGGTCCGCTGGTGTGGGGGGCTGTGGGGGGGACACTGCTGGTGTTGCTCCTGCTGGCTGGCGGGTCCGTCGCCTTCCTCCTGCTGAGGAAGAGGAGGAGGAGGAAGAGCCCTGGAGGAGGAGCAGGAGGCGGAGGTGGCGGCGGCCGAGACGGAGACAGGGGATCGTATGATGCGAAAACTCAGGTGTTTGGGAACGGAGGCCCCGGGTTCTGGACGCCGACAGCCCCTGGTCCCTTGAGGCCAGACGGCAAGGAGGAGGAGGAAGAGGAAGAGGAGGAAGAAGAGAAGCCAGAAGAAGGCCTCATGTTGCCTCCACCTTCCTCACTCAAGGACGACATGGAGTCGCACCTGGATGGCTCCCTCATCTCCCGGCGGGCGGTTTACGTGTGACCTGGGGACACTGGACGCACTGACACGTGGCCTCCTGCCCCACCCACGGCCCAGGAGGGCTGCGGACTGGTTAGACGGGTCTGTCCCGCTGACAGAGGCTGGCCAGCCGGATGCCACCTCCTGCTCTGGACCAAGGAAGGTGGAGGCACACACTGGACTTCTCCACCTCCAGGGCTGGATGGGAAGTGGGGGCTCAGGCAGAGGCAGGGACAGAGGGGACCCCGAGAGACTCGTTTGTGGCCCCAGCCTGCCCTTGGCCCTGTGGCACTCAGGAGTTAATAAATGCCTTGGAAGAAAACCTCGGGTGTCTTGTAATGCATTGGACCCTCTGTTGGGGTCTTGGGAAAGAACAGGTGGGACGGGGGCTCCTAGGGGGGGCTCCAGAGTCCCGAGGCACTGGGTCCGTTGTCCTGGGGCTTACAGGACATAGGTGCAGCGCTCAGACAGTTGGGAGCCCCGGGTTCCCCAGGGAAAGCAAGGCACCCCGACGGAGGGCCCTGCAGTGGGGGTGATGGGCCAGGCCCCTGCTTTGGGAGGACAGTGAGGCCAGGCCTCTTCTAGGCCGCTGAGGACCTGGAGAAGGGAGAGCTGCTCACCCCGCTGGATTCTTGGGGTGTGGGACAGGCATGGGTACCGGGGACCCCAGGAGAGCCCCCCTTTGTCATCCAGTGGCCCCTCCTAGCCTCTCTTCTCCCTCTTGTTCCGAGCCTCGGGACTGTGGGTGATTTCCCCGCTTGGCCCAGCTACTGAACCAAGGACCAGGAGAGGTGCCTTAGGGAGAGCAAGAACTGGCTCTGACCCTCCCAAGCCTCTGGTCCTGCGCCCCCGGGGCCTCCTGGAACTCAGGGCCACCTTTGATCTGCCTCAAGCTGTGGGCGCCCTGGGGGACTTCGTGCAGTGGGTGACTCCAGAGTCGCAGTGACTTCAGCGCCAGGGGCTGGATCGTGTGTTTCTCCGGCCGCCCAACTTTCCACGGAGTCTGTGGAGCTGCACCGGGCCAAGCGGGGGACGTGGTGGCAGCCCTAATGGATCTAGCAGTGCCATCTCTGCCAGTGGTGACTACAACAGGAAGAAGCCTGTGTCCAGGATGCCGGTGTATGAGAGCGGAGCACCCTTGCTCTGGAACCCTGCAGTCTGAAGCCCTCGAAAGGAAGGAAGCCGGCTAGGGCCCAAAGCTCACCATGGGCTGCAGGCAGCACCTCCTGGGCAGGGAGGCAGGGCTGCCGGCTCATCTATCTGGTGCAGTCCATCCCTAACCCTCCTTCAACACCTAGCAAAAGCCTACTGTGCGCCCGGCCTGGGCAGGTAAACAGGTCATTGCACCGTGAGGAGAGGCAGGCCTGAGAGTAGAAATGCCAAGTACCACAGAGGAGAGGCTGCGAGCTTTGCACGCCTCTGTCGGTCAGTCCGGGGGAGAGGCCCCAAGCGCTATCATAATGAGAGGCTGTGTTTCTCAGGCCAGAACCTCCACTTCTTCACCTTTGAGCTAACCCTCTAGTCCTTCCCTTCATCTCCTGCCTCTTCACTGCCCCAGCCCCATGTTTTCCTTGCAAACTCCCAAGGCTGCCTCAGGACCCTTGCACTGGCTGTGCCCTCTGTCTGTGATACAGCTCTCTCCTGTGTCTGCCCTGGGTCTCTGACCAAATGTCCCCACACAGCAAGCCCTGTCCACCTTTGGGGGTCTGCGCTTTCTTTTCTCCCTCCCCACTTTGTTTTTACCTTTTGTCGCTGACTCCCACCAGGTAGGTCAGATGTCCCATTTGTTTATTTGCTATCGGCCTCCCTACAGCACTCAATCTCCCGACCCATGCCCGAGGATTCCTTGATTAGTTGAATGAGAGAGGAGGAAGGCAGGTGGGGGTGATTTAGGGGTGCGGCTGGGAACGAGGTGCTTCCTGCCCAAGGTCGCTCACACTGTGCTTGTCCTTGCAGAGACGCCCAATACGGCAGGTGCGGGCGCCACCGGAGGCATCATCGGGGGCATCATCGCTGCCATCATTGCCATGGCGGTGGCCGCCACGGGGGTCCTCATCTGCCGGCAGCAGCGGAAGGAGCAGAGGCTGCAGGGGGCCGAGGAAGAGGATGAGTGAGTGACGGACGGGTCCTGAGCCGTGGCTGGGAAGAGGTGGCAGAACTGGGGCCCCGCGGGGGATGGAGGAAATCGTACATAGCAGCTGTGGGGACCAAACCCAAACAACGAGGCTGAAATCCGATGGGGAGGAAAAGGCTTTTCCGCCCATAAAGTATGGCTGTGACAGCTGTGCCCTGGGAAGCCATCAGGAGCCGGGCTCCTGCTGTCTGGCGGGGCCTTCCCTAGAAGGTGGCCTCATCCACGTCCACTCTCCCTCCAAGTTCTGTGTCCATGGTAACGTGACGGGGCCATCCTGGCCTCATTAGCCGCACCCCCAGGTAGAAAGGGGAGAAGGAACTACAGGGCGTCTGGCCCCGTGTAAAGGTGCACCTGAGGGGCTACCCCTTCGCACGTCCCTTCAGCCATGACCTAGTCACGTGGTTGCCCCAGCTGCAGCGGTTTTTGTTTGGTTTGAGTTTTTTGAGACAGGGTCTCACTATATAGCTCAGGCTGGCCTCCAATCCAGTGATCCTCCTGCCTCAGCCTCCCCAGTGCTGGGATTACAGGTGTGGGCTACCATGTCCGATCTATCTCAAATAACACCATGTCGGAGGCCAGGGATTTAGCTCAGTGGTTCTACTGCCTGCCTTGAAAGCTCAAGGACCCAAGTTGGATCCCCAGTACCAAACAAAACAAAACAACAAACACCATGTCAGGAGGAGGCACCTTCCTGGGCCTGTCCTCAAATGAATCAGTCCATGGGTATAAGAGGCTCCCATCTGTAATCCAGCTACTCTGGAGGCTGAAGCAGGAGGATTCCAAATTCAATAGCAAGGGGAACTTACCAATATCCTGCCTCAATTTTTTAAAAACACAAATAAAAAGGGCTGGGGATGCAGCTCCGTGGTAGAATACTTGGCCCCACACATGTGAGGCTGCAGGGTCTCATCGTCAGTACAGGAGGGTGTAAACCTAGAACTTGCTGCTGTCTCTTGCCTGTGGCCAGCCCAGTGCCGAGCCCCAAGGCGCCCGACACTGAGAAGACAGCACCGGCCCAGCGTGGCCATCGAGGGAGAGGGCAGTTAAGGGGCTCGGAGAAGCCAGGTGGGGCCCGTGGCCCAGCCTGGAGGGACAGAGGTGACAAGGGGGCTGAGTGAAGGCACAGTTAAGTTGTCTGTCCACGGTGCCGCGGTCTTCAAGGGTACAGAATGAGGGACTTTAGCCTCAGCCAAGAGCACTGTGGTTTGGCTCGTTAACAAGTGACCTCCGATGGCATCCCTCAGAGTGGGTGCTGGGGACTCTGGGTGACTCACTGTTCCTCACTGCTGGCTCTGTAACTGCACAACGTAATTTACAAACTCAGCACCCTTCGAGAGGCTGGAGTGACCGGAGTTCCTGATCCGTCTAGAGAATCTGGGGCCCTTCCTGGGAGGAGAGGGACGAGTAGGAGTTCACCCGGCTGGAGGCCAAGCCACAGAAAGGGAGATCTGGGCCCAGAGAGCAGCAGCTCCCCAATCCCGGGCAGGGTGGGGAGGCATTCGTGGGGTACAGCCTCTGCTTCAGCTACCTCCTACCTCACAGCCTGGAAGGACCACCCTCCTACCAGCCACCCACCCCGGAGGCGGAGGCGAAGGCGAAGCTAGAGGAGCCGGAGTTGGTGAGTGTTTCCCCCAAGCCCGAGCACCACGCCTTCCTTTCCCAGGCGAGACCAGGCTGGGGGCGGGGGCTCCCAGGGGAGGCTGGTGGGGGGTTCTGACCTGCTCTCCCCTCCTGCCACAGCCCTCCCAGCTCTTCACTCTGGGAGCCTCGGAGCACAGCCCACTCAAGACGCCCTACTTTGATGCTGGTGTCTCGTGTACCGAGCAGGTAGGAGCTCAGGGAATAGCAGGGAGGCAGAGTTCAGAGTCGAGGTTGAAGGGCCAAGCCTCAGAGAACAAAGGGCACTGTCACGGTCAGCTCTCAGAACACGGAGACGCGTTCAGGATTCAGGGCAGCAGACCAGGAACAAAAAGTCCAAGGACGTGCGGTTAAAGCCACTGGGTCAGGAAGATAAGTGTAGCCATGACACTTGTGAGCTCCTGAGCTGGAGGTGGGAGGAGAGAACAGAGTCACTGTTGAAGGTCAGGGGTCAGATACTCAGGGCGAGACAGGTCCTGGTTCAAGGGACTCTTTAAGGTTCAGAGTTAAAGAGCTGGAGTCAAGATTGAGATCCAAGGTTCATAGGTAAAAGACTTGGGGATCGGGGATGGCCCAGACATGACAGGCAGGGTAAAGTCCACAACCTGGGCATTGGATTAGGGACAGGCTGTGTGACTGCCCAGTGCAGTACTGATTTGAGGTAGGAGGGTACAGGGTGAGGCTGAGTCTGACTGACACAGGGGCAGGCTGGGGCTGGGGCATACTCAGGTGATGAACTTGAGTCCCCCTCTCCCCCTCCAGGAAATGCCTCGATACCATGAGCTGCCCACCTTGGAAGAGAGGCCAGGGCCTCTGCTGCTGGGGTCCACAAGCCTAGGGCCCCCCACTGGGGTGCCTCTGGGGCCACCTGGCATGGAAGGCGTTTCCCTGGATCTAGAAGACGAAGAGGAGGAGGAGACGGAGGAAAACTATCTGGACAAAATCAACCCCATCTATGACGCCCTGTCCTATAACAGCCCCTCAGAGTCCTACCAGGACAAAGGGTTTATTGTATCCCGGGCCATGTATGTGTGAGAGCCCTGACCTCTCCCCTATCACCTTTGACCCCTTATATTTTTGCCAGGGACCTGGTGCCCCGTCGTCTGGCCAAGCCACTGGCAGTTAACACATGGGCACTCATCTGTGACTTTTACTTTAGCGTCTCCACCATGACCTCTAACCCATGATCTAGGACCCAGGGAAACTTGCCAAGACTGTGGAAGGCTGGTAACTTTATCTCATGAAGCAATGAACAGGGAGGATATTTCTGTACAACCTCTGACCACAAGGACTCCTTTCGCAAACTGTGACAGATCGTAGCACTCACCTCTGGCTGTTCCACCTCTCAGATCCTTCAGAAATCCTGAAGACTCCTGACCTCCCATTTGTCCTCAGGAAGTAAGTTCTGACACGTCTGTGAGCACAGACACTTAGGGGTTCTCTGCTGCTCAGACTTGAGCCCTCCAGGTGGCAGAGCCTCTTTGTGTACCATGCTCCCCAAAGGTGGGTGGGAAGGGGATTCCCAGCTGGACGCAGCAGAGCTTTGCCGTCTCCCTCTCCTGCGGGCAGGAGCCTCAAGGTCCAAGCTCATCCCTGAACCCCACCATCCCACTCCCTGTGTACAGAGCATGAGCTCCAGCCCAGGGGCAAGCTCCATGCGTGTGCCTTGGCCGCCCAGCCTTCGGAGAATTTGCTGTTGTTTTGAAGACTACTGAATCCTCTTACCTCTGCTCACTGGGATGAGACCTAATCATCCCCTCTTGGGGGAAAGTGGGTCACCTGGGTTGGGGGTGGGCGCTATACTGTTTTGTAACCTAGCATTTCCTACAAAATATAAGTTTCTACTTTGGCCAGACCTTGTCTCCTGTGGGATGTGAAGAGGGTGGAGGTAGCATGTGAAGGCACCGAACAGGGTTCCGGAGCTTGGGAATCAGTGAACTAGAAGTCAAAACGGAGTACAAAAGCAAAAGGGACCACAGCCACAAGGGAAAGGAAACAAAAAATTGGTGACAGGGTAATAAGCAAAGGTGCTTCAACCAAAAACAAGGTTTTGGGTCATGAAAGGGGATGGGACGCACTCCAGGGCATGCATGGTGGTAACGAAAAGGAATTTGTGCAATAACAGTCCAATGGGCAATGCACAGAAATAAATGTAACATAATGAGGTAAGAGAGCTCAGATTTAATGGATAACAGCAAGTAGGGATAGGATAAAGGCAAAATCAAGCATAATGTTTTAATAGGAGCCAAAGGCATGGTGGGTAATGTATCTGAATGAATAAACCAGAGGCAGAGAGATGAATAATGTGGAAACACAGGCCGCGAGCATGATGGGTAACGGTCAGAGTTAATGGACCCGAAGCATGATGCTTAATTAGAGAAAGGCCAGAAAAATGATGAGCGTGAGCCGGCAGCAGTGGCCTAAAGGCAGTTCAGGCGATGAAGCCGAAATGAATGGGGCGAAGGCATGCTGGGTAATGGGACAGGAATGAATGGGCCAGAAATAGAAGCCGCAGTGACGCGGAGAGCCGAGGACATGATGGGTAGCGCGCTGAGGTAACGAGGGCATTGTGGGTAACAGGTAGCCTAGCGGAGTTCACAGAACTGGTTAGGCTTTTCCCTAGGCACTGTGGGAAAACCCAGCACTTCCGGTTTTCGTTCCGGACCAGAGACAGTGCCCCCTCTGCCGCGATGTTTGGTGGGACTCGAGGCCTGACCTTGCTGCCTAGCAGCCTCTGCGGTGCAACCCATCCTTACCACTGTCCTTCGACCCTGGCACGTTAGCCAATGAGAGAACAAGTTTATACGTCACCAAGGTTGCCCCCTTTACAACCTAGAGCCAATCAAGATGCTTCAAGGGCCAAAATCGACCACTTATTTCGGCGTTCGTCATGGGGCGGAGTCAAAAGCCAAGACTCCTTCAGGAAGGGGCAGGGCTTCGCGTCAATGGGCGTTGCAAAGTGCTTCGCACAGGCCAATGACGAGCTAGGACCGGAACCCGCGGCGCTACGAGCCAATAAGCGAAGGGGCCGCGAGCCAAAGACTTGGGAGAGGACCCCTGTCGTACCGCTTGCCTAGTCGGAACCAATAGAAAAGAGATTCGAGAGAGATGGGTGGAACTTCCAGCCATAACTCCAATAGAAAGGCCAGACCCTCAGGGTTGTGGGTGGACCCCAGGACACACTGAACCAATAGGATAGATAGGGCGGGGCGACGGTGGCGGCGGCGGCAGCAGTGGGTTAGGTTGCGTGCGGTGCACGGGGTGGGAGCGGAGCCCAGGCTGGGAACAGGCGCCGCAGCCAGTGAGAACCGGGGTCCAGAACAGGGCGGGGATTGCCTAGGGCTGAGCCCCGGGCGAACAGGGCCTGACCTCCGCCCTCTGACATCTTTCGCAGACGACCATGGGGAACGTTTTGGCTGCTAGTTCGCCGCCCGCAGGCCCGCCGCCGCCGCCTGCGCCAGCCCTCGT